ATCAGCAAGCTCTACCAAATACTTTTGTGTGTTCATTATTTAAATTTTTTGTCCTCCAGTTAATGAGAATTAGGAGAAAAACTCGAAGGTCTTCATCAATTACTGTGATCTCACCAGGTTAACTCTTTCCTTGCACTTCTGATTCATGGACATAATGGCAAAATTCATATTTTCCACTTTTAAAAATCTAAGAATTCCCATTTGGTGTTCGGAAAGGTTGATGGTGGAACAAATCACTTCACCTCTCACAAAAACAGCCCAATGCTGCACACGCATCTCAGATTTTCACACTTCATTTGTGTTATTAATACATCGTTAGGTGGTTGCTAGGCGGATAAGTAGTAGTCAAATAGTTAGTCAAATAGTTAACGTCACGATCTATTGTGTATATAAAAGGCTTGTTGATATAAGTGCATGTTACAGTCATGCAATTAAAATCATAATATGCTTTTAGAAGGTGTTATAGGAGCACGAGCTACAAATGTGTCATTTTGGGAAGCATGATGATGTCATCATATGAGGTGGAAGATGTACCTGTGTGACAGATCATGTAGGAGGAGTTTACAAACAGATTTTTGTATCATTGTAAGACCTTTTTTTTTTTAATGTACTGACTTTTTCGGAGGCACTGACCACAGCGTCTGTCACGCTTTTAAAACCTGGTTTCTTGGTTACTGTTGCAAAGCTTTATCTAGAAAAAGTACGTGTCACAGATGTTTCTGATTACTACAGAAACCCAACACATTATCTACAAACTTGTGCTGACAATTCATGTCCATGAACACAAATAACTATTTCAGATTCTGCGTGGACAACAGGGTGTTTCATTATAAGCCATAATTGCAGTGTCATTATCTTTCCTGCTCTCACCTGTAGTTTGGTTTGGTCATCTCTCCGTGCTTCTCTTTCCCGCTCTGTCTCCTCACCTTCCAGCTGCAGCTGACAGCTGCCCCTCCTGATTCTTCCAGAGGTCTCTTCCTGTTCTGGGCAAACATTTCAACTCTGAATAACCATCAGCTGACCAACTTTTCTCAAAGTTTATCTTGGTTGATTTACAGTTCAAAATAAAAGTCAGACATGTGACCTTACAGCTGGCTCAGTGTCATTTAAACCACTGCCTTGATAAGACTAACAAGAATTAATTTATATTATTATTCTATTGATTTGAGAAAAAAATATTTTGAAATGAGAGAAGAGTAAAAATGCTAAGAAATAAACATAAAAGTCTGACTGAGCTCTTACTCTGATTTCAGTTTCTAATCTCACAATTAAAGGCTCGCTTCACACGTCCATGATGCTGACACATTTCATTATGCAACAAATGAGGAAAGACTGTAAAGAAGCTACACGTATGAGCTACACGCATTTACCGTCTGATACGATAAGGCTGTAGTTGTGTTTGGATGTTTACCTCTCATTTTCCAGTGTAGTACAGTGTTCTCCTTTAATGACTTCTAACTGCTAGAAAACTAAAAGTTGGATGCTGCCCATCAAACCGAAACTCTTGTACTCATGCAGTTCATGGAGGAGTCGGGTGGGAGCTTACAGGGCTGAGGAATAACTGCATAACAGGCATGAAAAAATAGTTTAAACAGAGTAAATATCAGTAAATACTTGGACATCTTTGCCTTTTTGATCCACTAAGGGAGATCGTGGCTCAAGAGTTGGGAGTTTGCCTTGTAATCGGAAGGTTGCCGGT